ATATATATATATATATATAACTAGTTTTTTAACCACACTTTGTTATTATTGTTCATTTATTCCTTTGCTGGAAATTAAAACTGAATTTAGAAATAGTTTTGAAAAAGATCTTTGCGCTTAACAAACTAAATTAAATATGTCGGCTAATGGGTGTCTTCAGTGGAGTGAGTACAACACAGATTCCTTACTCCACCAAAGTAAAGGAGTAAAGAGTAAACGTAAAGTAAAGAGGCCAAATGGAGGAGACTCGTTCTTCATCCTCGTGCTGCAGATGTTCTGTTTAACTGTTTTCTTACTAGTGAAGCCTTCAGTTTTTACACTTACAAAGTCCACACGTAAATAGCAAATGCACCATGGCACGACGCAATTGACTCTTAAAGGGAATGAGAGATGAGACACTGATTGGTTTAATGCATGTTATGCTCAAAACACACCCAGAAATCATTAAGAGATTAAGCACAACCCTGTTAGACCATGCGCCAGGGCGCAGATTGTATTCTTTCATCATTAAAAGTGGATTCGGACACACGTCTTTAATGCATTTGAACCATGCACTTTAGACTTTGCGCCTAGATCATTAAAATAGAGAACAAAAAAATAAGTTGTCCAAAAAAAAACCTTAAGAATTATGTTAATTCAGCTCAATTTAATTAAGTAGTTTAAACAAGCAGTAAACATCATATTTTAAGTGAAGACATTTGAGCTTATTGGTCATAATCTTCCGTTTTCTTAATGCTACACCCATGCTATGCTTCTGACAAGTCATAATCCACAAAAAAAGTCTAGTTAAAGGCAGCACATCTCTGCATTACAAAAGCAAATCTGAATGCAAATCAATTTCTGGATTTTTTTTTCTCTTGCCCTATATACTCCCATATATATGCACCTCAGTGTGTGCTAAGCATTTATTTAATGCAAATGCTTTTTGCTGTCAAAAGAGGGGATTTTCAGCATTTACATAATGCAAATCTTAGCGAATGAGTATGTGTGTGTGTGAGAGACTCACCCGCTGGGCCCAGGCCTCTGATTCTGGGTGAAACGCCAGTCTGCACTGGGTGGTTTTTGCTGTAACGAGACAAAAGGAAAAGCATGAGTAATGACACATAACAAGAAAAATAGTCTATTTGTGTGACCTCGCTGTTGCCATGGCGACAGAGCAATGATGTAAGCACGTCCGACAAAGTGACCTTGAGCGCAGCATGTGACCAAACCACAAGAACGAGACAAGACTTCCTGACTTTACCATACTCATGTTTCATTTGGCACCATGTAATAAAGTCGAAATTAATGTCAAACGCAGCGCTGACAAGTCACTTATGTAGAGATTTCATTGGAAACGGATGGATGCTCAATAAGGTAGAGTTATTCACAGACATGTGGACGCACACACACACACATATGGAGCAATTAAAAATGATAGTGTGTCTGAAACACGGCTGAGATGAGCAGCAAGTCAAGCGTTTTAGTCTGAACACTCACACACACACACACACACACACACACACACACACACACACACACACACACACACACACACACACACATACACACACACACACACACACACATAGGAGTGTTCCAGTGAGCGAGAGACAAGCTCCGTGACTAATTGGGCAGACAGAAAAAAGACAGAAAGACCATTGTGGTTCTATCCTCAGGACAGCAAACACTCGCAGAACGTTTTCTCTTTTAAAATGCCATAAACCTCAAAATAATGCACTACTGTATATCTAACACATAATAAAAGTGGGAAAACACCGTGACAAAAACATCAACGTTTAGAATTCAAATGTTTTCATCTGCATTCTCTCTGTCTCTATCCTGCGAATTGGATAACCATATTATAAAATAAAACACACACACACACACACACACACACACACACACACACACACACACACACACACACACACACACACACACACACACACACACACACACACACACACACACACACACACACACACACACACACACACACACACACACACACACACACAGGAGAAAGTTATGTTAAAATGTTAAAAATAGTGTAAATGTAATGTAATCACAGCCTATTTTAGTTGAGAGATGTTTCATATTTCATTAAGAAAGGAATGGATCCATTCCCATCCATATATAAAAACAAACAGTGTCAGTGGCGCACATGTAAAGACACACAGGAAATATTTGCATCAAAAGCAACTCCCACCAAAGCCAGCTGAACAACAGCTGAGACGAACACTTACAGCCAAGCAAACATGAACACGCAATATTAAATCTACTGACTGATCTAAACTTTAAACCCAGCATTTGATCATCACAAAGATGGTTTTGGTCAAATGAATCAATATCAAACTAAAAGGAAACCTGTGATCTTATTTATAGAAGATGTTGAGCAGAAATTCATATTTAGCCAAACATAAATATATTAATAGACAATTATTATTCAACAACAGGCCTCTTTTCCAGATGTGACATTTATCAATAGCAAATGATCTTGAAATTGTGCCCACAGTTTACTGCTGTCCACCTTGCAAACGCTCACTAATCAATATCATTAACATAAAAAATAAGGAATGCTTACCAATATCTGAATTACTATGCTTGATGATATATATATATATATACACAGTTGAAGTCAGAATTATCAGCCCCCCTTTGATTTTTTTTTTTTTTTAATATTTCCCAAATGATGTTTAACAGAGCAAAGAGATTTTTAAAGTATGTCTGATAATATTTTTTTTCTTCTGGAGAAAGTCTTATTTGTTTTATTTTGGCTAGAATAAAAGCAGTTTTAGTTTTTTTAAACACCATTTTAAGGTAAAAATCATTAATCCTTTAAGCTTTATAGATGGAAAATACCAAGTAAAGTATTATTTACTGTCATCATTGCAAAGATAAAATAAATCAGTTATTAGAAATGAGTTATTAAAACTATTATGTTTAGAAATGTGTTGAAAAAATCTCCTCTCCTTTAAACAAAAATTAAGGAAAAAATAAATAGGGCGGCTAATAATTCTGACGAATGTATGTGTATATATATATATATATATATATATATATATGTGTGTGTGTGTGTGTGTGTGTGTGTGTGTGTGTGTGTGTGTGTGTGTGTGTGTGTGTGTGTGTGTGATCATATGAACATAAACTAACACGATTATGGTCACTCGTCTAAAAAAATCTTGCATGTGATTTGCCATTTCAAAAATATATATTTTGTACAAACAAGTTAAAGCTGGCGTCTCTTTCACAGCAGCTGTAGTGATGTTTATTTGTTTTGGATTCATTTTGATTAATTATTGTAGACTTTTTGAGTTTAAAAAAATCAAGACGTAACTAAATAAATCAATTACTTAATAAAAAAATAAAAAAATAAATAAATAAATTGAATTATAAATTAATAAAAACATGGAATAATCTATGTTGCTTACAGAATGCAAGTAAAGCACTCTCAGCATTAGCCTATTAAAAGATCTGTTTAACTTCAGTTAATAAAACAAAATCTGGGTAACACTTTACAGTAAGGTTGTATTACCAACACGAACAAACAATGAGCAATACATTTATTAAAGTATATGTTCAAGTAGTTAGTTATTAAAAATACAGTCGTTCATTGTTAGTTCTAATGTTAACATGCATGGACTTGAATGTTAATGCATTAGTAAATGTTGAACTATTAGGCTATACAAGTATTGTTCATAATTAGTTCATGTTAGTAAATAAATTAACTAATGAAACCTTTTTGTAAAATGTGGCCGAAATCTGCACAGTTCATCTCTCACACTGCATCTGTGCTGTTTGCAATGAATTCGGAGCACAAACACTGCTTTTATTAGACGTTCATTTAGTTTCATTACTACGACTTAACCACAAGAAAAGTAAATTGTGTACTCCTGTTCAAACCTTGATGCCAATAAGCACTTTTCCACATAATAATTTGAGATTTACCGTGGATTTAAGCATACACACCCAGACTCTAAGACAGTGGTCACCAAACTTGTTACTGGAGGGCCGGTGTCCTGCAGATTTTAGCTACAACCCTAATCAAACACACCTGAACAAGCTAATCAAGCTCTTACTTGGTATACTTAAAACATCCAGGCAGGTGTGTTGAGGCAAGTCTGAACTAATCCCTCAGGGACACCGGCCCTCCAGGATCAGGATTGGTGACCCCTGCTCTAAGATCAAATCTGAGCATACACATACTTTATAAATGACAATGTTCATCATTTCTAGACAAAAAAAATAGTTCAGTTTAATTTTGAGAATGATCTAACAAAGCCGAGCAAACTCATAAGCGAACAGCCTGGAGCTCACAAACAGAGCTCATCTGACCCGAACACAAACAAACCTCACTCTGTACACAGGACATTATAAACTAAAGCACACCAGATTAATCAGAACAATGGCACAGATCACGGCATTACTCATGTCCAGGGTCAGACTCTTCGAGATCCCTGCATATCCTCCTGTGTACAAAACACTCATTCATCGATCAAGGACAGAAAGAGTTCAGAGCGAGTGAGCGTGAAGGTTACATCCGCCTGCAGGTCTGTCAGAAAATAAAACTAAATCCTCCATAATGAGGCGTCTCCTTTGCACTTAAGTGTGTACTGTATACCGCCTACTGTATACAAAAATAGGAGCTGAAACGGGATGCAATGTGAAGCACTTTCTAACAGAGTTATGTGTTGCCATAACTTTGCACCTTAGTATTCTTGACTGTGTTTATAGCGTGAATGCAACTGGAACCAGAATGAAGTCATACGAGTTGACCTTTACCTCAAGGTCACAGTGATGATCCTGTTTAGTTTCTGAGCACTTGTGTAAATAACATACAATAGGTGTGGTGTCACACTCCCAAACACACACACAGAGGCCCAAAAAAACGCCTTAAGGGCTGTGTGACATATGTAAACACACAATAATGCTCTGCACACTTGATCAAGCAGGATGAGGAACACTATTGTGAACACGCACAAGCTCTTGCAACACTAAATCAGCCATGCCAAACACATAATAAAAACGATAGGACAGAATATGAATTCTGATTGGATGAGCCACATTCAAATGCACACAATTTCTTATAGATGCTGAATTAGGGAACACTTTACTTGAAGTGGTGTTCACAAGACACTGTCATAACCATGACAAGACACGTCTATATATATATATATATATATATATATATATATATATATATATATATATATATATATATTAGGGATGTAACGGTATCAGAATTTCACGGTACGGTAATACCTCGGTATGAATGTCACGGTACGGTATTTATTGAATCATTTACAGGAAAAAACAAAACTTATGAAAATACTCCAAAAAAGTGCCAAAAGTGTCAATGACATACAAATTAGCCATCTATCTGTAAGCTTCAATTTTAATAACAAAAAATTATTAAACCATGTAAAAAAATAAAGTTTCAATTTAGTATTGTTGAAAACTCATCACATTCAACATTTAATCACACTCAGCCCATCTACCCAGATGAGAGCTCTGCTAGTCGGACTTCTCATCAAGCATCTCCCGCTGGATCTAATCTCACTATATTTATTAAACGGGATATTTCATTCATCTTGTTGTCTTTATCTAACGACATATTCCCTGACTTTGGTCATTGGAATCTATTACTTGTTCTCAGGTAACGTGTTTTGGCTGAGCGCAAAGATAAGTTAATGATTAATGTAACCACGTACATTCTGTATATTGACTGATCGCTTGCCTTTATTTCCTATAATGTAAAAACTTATTGTATGTTATACTTTTAAAATGGCCATTATCGATTATTAAAACTGATACTCAGCAAAAGAGAGGCTGTGTTTCGTATTTTCACTGAAATTGAAAGGAGGCAGTTGTTATCGGCTCCGTTTTGTTATAAATATCCACACAGTGAAGATGACGCTCATGCAGCACGACGCCTCAACATTTCTGCTGTCTAAGTTGCTAATATTAAAATGAAAATAGGCAGTTCCTTAAATCATGTTTACAT